CACTCCCTTTTCCACTCTTGCTCCACCAAAAGCTGATCTTAGCACAGCGTTCAGGAAACCTTGCTGTATTAGTCAGGGTTTTTCTAAAGAAACAGATACAACGCAGGATACACAGAGGTATAAGAAAAGACAAAATTGGCTTATGATGGTCAGCTAGAGAGTGGGGTAAGGAAGCGTGCAGAGCGTATCTGCTAGCCGGAGGCAGAAGGCTTCAATCCAAGATCGGGAATTCACTGCAGTGTCCCGTGAAAGCCTGCACCAGCAGCTGATGGGTCTGGGAATGAAGACTGAAGAGTCTATGCCAGAAGTCTAAAGGATCCAAGGCAGAAGCTGGAGTCTGCTGCCTTGGAAGATGACATCCAAATCAGAGATGATGACTAGAGCTCTTCTGAAGAATAGAGCCTCATCCGGCCTTCCTCCTTCCCTTTTAGACTGTCCAGGCAATGAGCCTCCCTAGGGTGGGTCTTCGGGTGTAGAATTGCTAAGCCAATTTAAACTTCTCAATGTCTCAAATTGACACAATCAATTAACCATTACACTTGCCAAAACATTAAGAACCTGTGGTGATCTTCACCTACATCAAACCTGACGTTTCCTTTACACTGTCTGCTTCACGGCCCACAGGTCCTAAGCCTTCTACTCTTCTCTGGCTTTATCTACTGCAGGAACACCAACCTCTTTCCTGTCCCTTCAACATGTCCAGCATGCTTTTTCTTCCCTAGTGGTCTCTGTATGAGCCATTTCCCTTGCATGGAATGCCCTTCCTCCAGATAATTTCATGGCCCTCTCCATCATTCACATTTCTGCTCAGTTGTCACCATCCTAGCTAAAACAATAAACACACGCACCCCACTCTGTAACTACTTCTGTGTTTTTGTTTAAAATTCTATTTTATCAGGCTTTGCCCTTACTTGAAGGTCAGCCTCACAAGGCAGTGTCATGTGTCTCTGACATTCCTAGTGGCTAAAATAGTGCCTGGCATATAGTAGATGTAGAATTCTTACTTGTCAAATGAATGAATGGACAACTACTTTTATTAGTCAGCTTTCTATCACTGTAACAAAATGCCCAAGACAGCTGACTTCATCAAAGAACAGGTTTATTTAGCTCACAGTCATGGAGGTAGAATGATCTGTTGCCTGCACAGGGCTCAGTTCTGGTGAGAACTTCATGGAGAATGGCAGACAGCTGAGTGTGTTAGGAGGCTAAGCCAGGAAGTAGAGAGAGTTTGGATCCAGCATTCTCATGCAATCTTGTTTGTCTCTTGAATTGCTGACCTAGCAGTTTCATGGAAACATTTTTAAGGATCTACTCCAGTTTCGTAAGTGTCTGCCATTAAGCTTCACCTACTATGTGTCCATGCCATCTTCTGGAACCACTATCCTGGAGTCCAAATTGCCTACATATCTGCCTTTGGACAGACACAAACCATATCCACACTGCAGCACTATTAGCTTATACAAAATTTCAGTTTACAAAGCATTCACATATACAATATTAAACTCTAACAGTTTGTGGGACAGGCTTTGTTATCTCCATTTTATAGAGAAGCTAACAGTCTGCTGAATATATTTTAAGTCTCTTGCTCAAGGTCATACAGCTACGGGATATAAAGATCAAGCCTACAAGTGTTTTGCCTGCAAGCCCAGCTTATTAATCACAACCATAAAATACTATTAACAACCTGTAAGTATCACTGTAGACACAGGTAGTATCTCACTTAACATTCCTACCAATGCTTTGAGGTAGGTGTTACTTTGCAAGTGAGGAAATTATACACAGCTAAGTTAAGATATCCAAGAGGTAATAAGTGGTAAGATTAGAATCAGTGTATATGTACCCCATTTCCAGGGACTTAATCTATGGCTGAGTCTCACCTCTGAAATGCCAACTGAAGGGCACAAATCAAGTGGATCTGCTATTATTTTATTTCATGCTTTCACTACATTTCGCAGAACTTTCTTCTTTTTCTTTAAAGCCACCAGGTGAAAAGCAAGTGGATCTTAAAGTGAGTTTACATTGTGTTGTTTTCTGCTTTCCTTCCATCTGTGAGATGTGTGAAGAGTTTATTTCTGATTAGAAGTCACATGGGATTCAGGCAGGGCTCGAGAACTGCCAGCAGTCTGCCTTTTTTCCTCCTCTAGTGGCTTCATGCTGTCTGTGGCCATGTGCATGGGCCAGTTTCCACCTGCCCCCTCAGCACCCCACCATAGGCTTTGTTTGATAAGTTCTCACTTCATTTTATCACATAACCTACATTGTAGAACACTCAATTTCTCTTCCATTCCTTTTTTTTTTTTTTTCAAAAACAAGAATCCATTTGATTGGATGTGATAGCACGAAGCAGAAATGTGGCAAAATTTTAAATGGTGAGAAATCCAGCTCCATTACCTGGGTTTTGAGAAGCAATTTGTGATTCGTGGACTCACTTTGTATTGAACTGTGCAAAGTAGAAACTAAAAATACTTCATTGACCTGTCTTCCTCTCTGCTCGTGTCCAAGTCAATCAGGGATTTGTGAATGTTACATACTTTCTGCTCTTTTTGGCTATTCAAATTACTAACTTAAAGATGTGTACGAAGAGACAGAAATAATGGATGGATACCTTTGAAATCTTAGACCCCTCAGACTGTAAATAAGCAAGAAGTCAAAAGTAGGAAAACAAATCAGACCTGTCTTGGTTCATGACGCTTATCTGGGAATAGACTGGGAACTCCTTGTAGGGCTCTAGTGACACGGGTATCCCCAGTGCCTGCTAGAGAGTCACTCAACAGGGTAAGTGATTAATAGAAAAAGTGCATGGGTCCGGGATATAACTCAGCTGAACCGCACCTGCCTGGTAAACATGAAGTCGTGAGTTTGATTCCTAGTGCCAGCAGCAACAAAACTACAGTAGGTGCTTCATAAATATTTGTTGAATATATAACGTTCTGTCATTTATTGTCTGTTCATGAATTTGTCTCAACACACACAATACACACACACACACACACACACACACACACACACACAAGGTTCTGTTTCTGTGCCCTTACAGGAAAAATGTCTGTTTTATTAATCTCTATGTCTAACTATGCCTAATACAGAACCATCTAATAATGGACAATCACTAAATGATCAGATTGGATTAACTTCTGTTCCTTGTTTTATTTATCTTCCCCCATTCTACCCTGTCCACTTGGTTCTCAAGCTGGGTGCCTAAAATAGTTCCATTAATCAAATCAAGTCTTTGAAAGCCAGAGACAACTTGAAGTCATTTCCACAAAGCTCAGAATTAAATGTTTACATTTACCCTGGCCATCTCATCTCTTTGCAGCTAGCTCACTACTTTCCCAGGAGGGAAAAAAGCATAAGCTTAATGAATCTGGTCAGACATATCTCAGAGCAGATGTCCAACATGCCACCATGAGCTTAAGTCATAAATATGATGGCTCTGTTTGGGATGGCAGAATATATTAGAAGTGTTTATCGGTCACTGGGCAACTTGCTAGATAGAGTGAAAACAATTCAGAAAAACGCAGGCGCTGCCTCTAGTAGCATCTCAGAAAGAGCCCTGGAGAAATACAGATAATCTGCTCCCAATGATTCATCAAGTTGGTCCTTCGTTTCATTAATTCAAGTGTCAAGTGCAACCATACAATAAAGAATTGTCAAGACCCGATAAGATTCTCCTCGGCTGCTGCTTTTCCTGCCCTAACAACTGGTTCTATTCATGCCTAAAGCACAAATTGAATAAATAGCTTCAAGGCTGGCAATGTTGGGCACTGTTTCCAATTTTTTGTTTTTCCTTGAAAAGCTGAATCACATGGGTTTCTTGCCCTCTCCAGAAAGCCTTGAACTGATATTCATTATTGAGCTAATCATTTTCACTTTCTTAATATAAAGTATGGAAGGATGCTTCATAAGTTAAAAATAGTTCCTGTTGTATTGCCAGTCCAGCAATAGATTAGTGAAGATTAAAAAAGAATCGTGATGCCTTTTTTGGCCTTGAGGAAGCTCTTATTGTGCCCATGGTTCAGTTGTCCTGTTGATTGTTTCTATCTTAATGTAATCTTCAGCATCACACTGCTACAGGTGTAGAGGTAATACATTAAGACAACTATTTCCACTGAGCGACTGCACAAGAAATATGTTTTTAACTAAATTAAACATTTAACAAATGCCATTTGTAATTAAATGCATGCAAGACAGTATCCTTAAAATAGGCTATGGGTGTGTATTACCCAACACTGAACAGTGGTTATGTTTTTTTAATTTTAATCAAAGTTCTGAATGTGAAGTTGTATGCCTCCGGTGCAGTAGACCAACATAAAGAAAGCCGCTGAAGGCCTCACAGTGCTTCTGAAATAAGCCATGAGCAGTTTTCTCTGTAGGAGCCACAAACTCTCCGTTGAAATTAAAAAGAATCTACAAGTCCAGTTTGTCCCTTGGCTGTGATATGATGAATGCTTTCAGAAACTCTAAAATCCTTTAGATGAACCCCAGGAACCTCTTAGGCTAAGTAGAAATGCAAATTGTCCTCTCTGAGGCAATTGGCAAGTTAAATAATTTAAATGAAATATTCTGATCTAAGATTGCATGAAAAATAACCCAGTTTGGAGAAAGTAAATTAAGGGGAAGAGGAAAACAGGAAGTTCCTACTCCAAAACTGCAATGATATTTTAGGAAAAATAATTTTATGATCGATTTCTCCAGAACATGAACACAAATGCCACGTCTCTAAGTAGGTTTATGGACATCTGAGGGGTTCCCTTGTTTTTATCAAAAATCACAACCCAGAAATCTTAGTATCCAGATAATCAAATGGCTATCACAAGCAGGATCCAGTTGGGCTTTCCTCCCTTTTTGCATGATGACTTCATAAAAGATAAAAACAAAGCTCTCCAACCCAGAAGTGGAAACATTGGCATGAAACTTCCTCTCAGAAATTTCACTCCGTGGAAGGGATTATTATTTGGGGGCGGGGAGGGGGATGCAGAGGTCTTTAGGACCCAGCAGGCGGCGGCAGGCGGCGGTGGTGTAGATCGCTGAGAGACTACGAGGGTCCGGTTCAGTTTTAATTCTGTCTCTAATCTCTGCTACGGCGGCGCTTCCCGGGTCCCGCGGCTCCCGCGCCCGCTCCGCCGGCCAGCGACCGGGCCACCACCCTCACAGCCCCCGCTGCCCTCTCACCCACCATGGAAACCCTCCAAGAAAAAGTGGCTCCGGAAGCGCGTGCCTGAGGATTCCGCACAAAAGAGGTGCCCAAAATGAAGACCCTGGTGGTGAGTCAGTTGGTGCAACTCCACTGGGCACAGGGGAGGACCCCTGGGCTCATCGGCCCGGGGGAGCTCCGAGGGGTGTACAGCCCTGAGCCTGGAGGTCGCCAGCTACAAAGGGACAACTTTTCAGCTGCTGCGCGTCCCCTCGCGATCCCCAGCTCTGCCTGGCTGGGAATCCTGGATTGGCGTTCAGGTTGCCTAGGCTCCTGGATCTCCAGTGAGGGGTTCAAGGGACCAGGGAACAGGTGGAGGATCCGGTAGACTGCTCCGGGGGAAGGGGGTGCCCCAAAGCAGCAGCCTGGCTAACTAAGAAGGGGAAGAGCGGGTAACCTTTGCAGACTTTCTCGGTTTCCTAGTTGTATTACAAACTTGCGAGGGTCGCCAGGTTAGAGCCAGGGGGCTAGCGGCGAGCGAGGGTGGCGCTTCCAGCTGCGCGGCTAGGCGGAGGCCCCCTCCTGAAGTGCGCGCCTACCCCTGCCCTCTGCGGGGCGCGCTCGCCCTGTCACCCCCACCTCCACTCCCCTGGGGCACTGCGCGCCCCCTACCCTCTCCCGCGCGGTCCGGGCTGCAGCGGTGGGCGAGGGCGACGCGGCGCGGAGAGCCTCCCCTGCCCGACGCGCGGAACCGAGCCACCCTGGCCGGGCACCTGAGCGCCGCGCCCGTGTCTCCGCCGCCGCCGGGCGCGCTCTTCCTCGTCCAGCTCAGCCGCTCTTTGCTCTCTCCCGCCCGCCCGCCCGCAGCGCCATGGTCTGGCAGTGTGTTTAGCGCTCACCACCATGTGCACCAGCTTGTTGCTCGTGTACAGCAGCCTCGGCGGCCAGAAGGAGCAGCCCGCGCCACCGCAACCCCCGGCGCCGGCGACCGGCAGCGCGCAGCCCGCGGCGGACAGCAGCCCCCAGCCGCGCCTCGCGGCCCCAGCGGCACCGCGGCAGCTGGACGGGTATCTCGGCGTGGCCGACCACCAGGTGACAGCCCGGGGCCCCGTGCACCTGCGCCCTTCCTTTTCCCCTGGCCGGGAGGCGCGCGAGTAGGTGCAGCACGCGGACTGGAAGGGGGAGTGGACCGGCAGGGGTTAGGGATGGGGGTGGGAGAGAGCAGGAATTGCTGTTCGAAAGGGGTTCCTGTTTGGAGAGGGGGCAAAGTTTTTAGGGATAGGCACCAAGTAAGTGGACCCCCAAAGCCCAATTCGTTGATAGCAGCTGACCCTGCAACTGGAATCTTTTGAGCCCCAGAATTGCAGCTGAAGAAGGTGGAGGTCCGGTTGCTTAAGCCTTGGGTTTGGCAGCCAAGTCGCGCCCTGGAGGCCGGGAAGCCCGGATAGCTTGGCGACCGGCACCACGGTTCTCCGACCCAGAGCAGGAGGATGAGAAGCAGCCAGCCCGGCCCTGCACAGCCCCGCAGGTTCGCCGGCCTCCGGGCTCTGTGTGATGGCTCTGGGCTGAATTCCCTCGGCCTCGGGGAGCGAAGCCCAGGCAAACTCGGAAGGCTGGAGGCGCAAACTCAGCTTCCATTGGCTTGAAAGCCTGTTTTCCTCTGCCTTCCGGGAAGCAACCGTATGGCGTGGCTAATAATTAATAAGATGAATTTTTAAAAATTGAGTCTCCTTTCCCTGGAATATTAAATCCCTGATTTCAGTGTATGAAGCCTCTGGGAGAATCCTAATCAGGTTTCCTGATTCTGAAGATATTTTAGTGCAGTTTAAATGTATCTCTCATTATTTGAAGCTGCTAATAAGCTTTTATTAAAACACACTTCCACTCTATTGGCTCTGAGAAGCGAGAGGATTTGTTGAGCTCCCCCAATTGCTTTCCTTTTTATTTTACTTAATTTTATGGTTGTGGATCAAAGTAATATTTTGCAATTTCACCTTGTGTGTGAGAAGACCACTATTTGAGGCATGAAAAAGACAAACTTTGTTGGCAATCAAAATATTGCCACTTACTATGCAATGCATAATGCTAGGATTTGGGGAGGTACCAAAGAATTTAAGGTAGAACCCAGCCTTTTGAGATCTCTGAATTTCTGGGGGATAACAAGACATCATGAAGTGGATATAAAAAGATAAACTGATACATGCAATGTATATGAATTATTCGTCATAAACAGTGAAAATAAGGTGTAGAGAGGAAAAAGACACTCTCTGGGCAGCAAGGAAAGTTTCCCTGGAAAGATAAAACTTGCACTGGGAAGGTTTCAGGGAAACAGAAAGGAGGGGGCTGTGTCCTCCAGGGCAGCTTTGGAAGTTGGGTGGAGGATGTATGCAAGACTATGGAGGTGTGGCCCTGGTTTATACACCAGGGAGGCTGACATCAATTTCATCCCCTCTGCCTAGCAACTTGTTTGCCTGGCTGGCTTAGCGCCTTGCATTCTGGGAGCTGAACAACTTGTTTGTGCTGGCCTCTCAACCCCGTTCTAGAGCCTGGCCTTGCTTTAGTGCTGCAAGCTGGGGCGATTTGATTAGGGAGTGAGCTTGGTGCTGGGGCAATGGCCAGAGCAGAGAGTTAAAGGTTTTACTATTCCACCTTCAGTTTTCTTCCTTACCTCCAGTTGTTGATTGATGACATTGGATCTACATGTGAGGGGACCAATAAGAAGGGCTGAAGTTCTAGGAAAGTTTAGAAATCTTGCTATGGATGGATGTAGTGTTTATATATACCTGGGGGTCTTATGAATATTTTGAACTTGTGAATTTCCCTGGCTATTGTTAGTGGAAATGGCTACCTAACACTCGGGAAGCTATGATTAATAGGGATGTCAAAAGATCAATTTACTGAAAGCTCCAATCTGCTTTTGGGAAGATACTCTTAATATATTTTCCTTCAAATATTCTATTGTTGGACAGAGACTAGCTAAGAATATTGATAGTTTAAGACAAGGCATAATGACCTCCCGTTTATTTTCAAAATGATGTTTATTTGCACAGATATGTTTGATTCCATTGTCAATGTATTAGTGCCTTGAATAATTAAAATAAGGAGGCAGCTCTTGCCTATATTGGAGGAAAGGTTGAATCTTCACATAAAAAAACGAAGTAATCTACAGTAAAAGGGTTTTATAAGCTATGAAGTACTATGTGAATGATAAATACTGTATGAAAGCCCTTGGGACTCCTGTCAGGGGATCTTCTTTGTAGATAATTATCAGTGTCAATGAAGTTCTTTCACAAAGAAAAAAAAAATTAACATCTCACAGAATTCCATCTGCACCCCAAGCCAAAGAGCAAATGTAAATCTTAAAATTTGTACCTTCTCTTCATGGAACATCCAGCAGTCTGGCAGGACTAAACATTTTGTAAACTAGAGAGAAAAATGCAGTCTGACCTTTGTTACTGCTGTTCAGCTGACTGGAGACTGGGCAGTCCATTTCAGATGGTCACCAAGAGGTGCATGTGTGAAATGTTTGCGTCCTCTCAAAAAGCTGCTACTCAATTAGGCTTTGTTTGAGATCTTCCTGTATAGTCTTGCTTAGACAGAGGTGGAAAATATTGCTGGGAATCCTCCCCCATTAACATAAAGGAGGTTAAGAAGTGGAAACATTTGTATTCTTATTGCCAGATGATACTCAAGATTGTTTTTTTCTCCCGTATCAGGCCTGAGAAAAATTACAGGCTAGGCTCAACGTGATGACCATGAAGCCATATGCTGCTGCATATTGAATCAGAATTTCAACAGACTTTTTATTTGCCACTGATTTACAGAATCTGGAGAGAGTTGCAGATAACATTTAGAATACGGTTCACATCTCCATTGCTGGAGGTCCCAAAGACTACTAAATATGTAGTGTTATGTTCAGTTACACGATAGTATTAATATAACTCCAAGATTAAATTCAACAGGTGGTCCTAATCCCCAGCACTTGAATTTCACAAATTACAGCCCTGTCTGCAGTGATGGTCTCTTCTCATGTGACTGCAGACTAATTTAATGTTGAGATTCAATCGCTATGTCTTTTGAATGACAGGCTGCAGGTCAAGTCAGTGATGAGCAGTGTGTGTTGAAGCTTCAAATGCCCCTTTCCATGGTCACATTGCCTACTGCTGCTTTCGCAGTGGATGTGGGCTACAGTAGTGACTCCAGTGTGGGCAAACTGAAGGTCACTCACAGTTGTTTGTGCTAATAAAGGCATTTCATTTTCTGGTAGTCTTTATCTTTTTCCCAAGCCCTCTTTGCAGATCTTGGCCCACAAATGATCCACCAACTCACCTTTCCCTACAGCTAGAGTATCTGCATTCTGTCCTTAGACACCTGGTGTCTATTTTTGCAAGCCAGTGATTTCTAACCAGATTGGCCAGACCACAAAGAGGAGACCAGTTTTCATGGTGATGGAAAACTTCTGCATTTAAGATACAGTTTAATGTGTGAACCAGCTAAAACACACACATGCATACTGAGTCAAGCAACCTTCAGAGGGAAGCAACTTGCATTAGAGAGGAAGGGACCATGGAATGCATGTTAGTTTCCAGTCTGGATCTGGTGGGTGTAGATAAAGTTGTCTGACATCTGGTGCGCCTTGTGAAATGAAACTGTGAGCAGATTTCCATTACAGTGGACAGACCCTTATCACAGAAGGCCCATTGTCACCTGGGCTGCCCTTTCCTGGATGGCCTACGAACAGACAGTGAGTGATTGCTATGCAGCTATCTCTTCACTTCAGGAGTAGCCCCCAGGGATAGACTTTACCCATGCCAACGACATGGTGGTCCTTGGTTCTTTCCTTCTTTAGGCATTCAGTTATTCATACAAATTAAAGCTGTTTCTGTGGAATAGTACTATTACTATTAATTTGTGGATGTCCAGTGGAAATCAGCCAAGTTAGTATGAGAACTGAAAAATAACCCAAAGGCAAAATAAAGGGAGACTTTGTGTAATTTATTTTGAAATTGTATTCATCCTTTAGAAAAGAATATACAGTCTCACAAACAAGTTTCCACCAAATGCTTATTATACCCTATTTGATGATATGTGAGTAACCCAGTGAATGATAAATCATTTGGTTCTCAAGGAAATCCAAAGAGGACTCATTTTCAGCCCTCAGGTGCTATAAAATATCTGCCAATGCTGATAAAACCCTGTTAGGACAAAGAGGTAAGCAAAAGGAAGCATAAAATGAGCTACTTTTTTGTGGATAAGGAGTTGCGATCATTAGGTTATTTCTAACAGTGTCTGTATATTGTATTTTCCTGGAAAGCTCTTCCTCCAAGGTCTTTGCATGATTAGTTCATTCTGGTTGTTCAGGACCGTGTGGTCCTTAGATTACCTGTCAATTGATGGATCAGTTCTTTAGTTCCCTCCTCAGTAGTCATTCTCTGTCTTATTCACCTGATTTGCCTTTCCCTGCAGCACATTATAATATCTGAAATAATCTTCAACTTTACTTGTCTGTTGTTTACCTTCCCTCAACTCGAATCTAAATGCTGTGTCAGTGAAGTCTATATTTTGCCAACTAGTTTAGCTCGAGGGCCTAGAATACTACCTGACACTTAGTGGGTAAACATTTGTTTTTTGAAAGAAAGAAGAATGTGAGGTTGGAGAGAAGGATAGAGCTGTTTCACCTTGTGTCAAGTTATTTATCCACAAAAAGTCGGTTCAATTCCAAGACCTTGTGATGTCTTACTTTTTCTAAAATTGTTTTGCCAAAAAAGAGCAGTGATAATAATAGTAGAGAGAAGGAGGGGGAAATGATTGAAAACATTAAAATCTTTGGGAATGAAACATGGAATCTGCATTTCAACAAGCTTCCTTTGACTCTTGTGCACGTTAATATTTGGGAATCACTGAAATTTTTTGTTTGCAAGCAGTGGTTGTATAGCCAATTCACTTGAAGTTTTTGAGCTAATAAACCCTTAGTAAATATGCATGAAAGACCTAACACTTTCAGAACTTGGCAATTCTGGAGAAAAAACACAATTCCTAGCCTCAAAGAAACTTTGATGTAATTAGAAAGAAAAGACAACGCAAGAAAAGTA